TATCACAATATTTGCCCCTACGCCCCTTTCAAAGGGATATCGGGGTCAAGATCCATCTAATGGCATGTATGGACATTCATTGTGGAAAAACTAACCAATTAAAAAAAATATATATTTTCCTCCAAAATGCTGAACCACCCCGGACCTTCTAATTTCGGCCCGAAAGTTGTGATAATTCAAATTTTTACAATATTTGCCCCTACGCCCCTTCCAAAGGGATATGGGGGTCAGGATCCATCTAATGGCATGTATGTACATTCATTGTGGGGAAACTAGCCTATTCAAAAAATATAATATTTTCCTCCAAAATGCTGAACCACCCCGGCCCTTACCATTTCGGCCTGAAATTGGTGTTTATTCAAATTATCACAATATTTGCCCCTACGCCCCTTTCAAAGGGATATGGGGGTCAAGATCCATCTAATGGCATGTATGGACATTCATTGTGGGGAAACTAGCCTAATCAAAAAATATAATTTTTTCCTTCAAAATGCTGAACCACCCCGGCCCTTCTAATTTCGGCCCGAAAGTTGTGATAATTAAAATTTTTACAATATTTGCCACTACGCCCCTTTCAAAGGGATATGGGGGTCAGGATCCATCTAATGGCATGTATGGACATTCATTGTGGGGAAACTAACCTATTAAAAAAAATATATATTTTCCTCCAAAATGCTGAGCCACCCCGGACCTTCTAATTTCGGCCCGAAAGTTGTGATAATTCAAATTTTTACAATATTTGCCCCTACGCCCCTTTCAAAGGGATATGGGGTCAGGATCAACCTAATGGAATGTATGTACATTCATTGTGGGGAAACTAGCCTATTAAAAAAATATATATTTTCCTCCAAAATGCTGAACCACCCCGGCCCTTACAATTTCGGCACGAAAGTTGTGATAATTCAAATTTTTACAATAATTGCCCCTAAGCCCCTTTCAAAGGGATATGGGGGTCAGGATCCATCTAATGGCATGTATGGACATTCATTGTGGGGAAACTAACCTATTAAAAAAAAAATATATTTTCCTCCAAAATGCTGAACCACCCCGGACCTTCTAATTTCGGCCCGAAAGTTGTGATAATTCAAATTTTTACAATATTTGCCCCTACGCCCCTTCCAAAGGGATATGGGGGTCAGGATCCATCTAATGGCATGTATGTACATTCATTGTGGGGAAACTAGCCTATTCAAAAAATATAAATTTTCCTCCAAAATGCTGAACCACCCCGGCCCTTACAATTTCGGCCCGAAAGTTGTGATAATTCAAATTTTTACAATATTTGCCCCTACGCCCCTTTCAAAGGGATATGGGGGTCAGGATCCATCTAATGGCATGTATGTACATTCATTGTGGGGAAACTAGCTTAATCAAAAAATATAATTTTTTCCTTCAAAATGCTGAACCACCCCGGCCCTTACAATTTCGGCCCGAAAGTTGTGATAATTAAAATTTTTACAATATTTGCCACTACGCCCCTTTCAAAGGGATATGGGGGTCAGGATCCATCTAATGGCATGTATGGACATTCATTGTGGGAAAACTAACCAATTAAAAAAAATATATATTTTCCTCCAAAATGCTGAGCCACCCCGGACCTTCTAATTTCGGCCCAAAAGTTGTGATAATTCAAATTTTTACAACATTTGCCCCTACGCCCCTTCCAAAGGGATATGGGGGTCAGGATCCATCTAATGGCATGTACGTACATTGATTGTGGGGAAACTAGCCTATTCAAAAAATATAATATTTTCCTCGAAAATGCTGAACCACCCCGGCCCTTACCATTTTGGCCTGAAATTGGTGTTTATTCAAATTATCACAATATTTGCCCCTACGCCCCTTTCAAAGGGATATCGGGGTCAAGATCCATCTAATGGCATGTATGGACATTCATTGTGGAAAAATTAACCAATTAAAAAAAATATATATTTTCCTCCAAAATGCTGAGCCACCCCGGACCTTCTAATTTCGGCCCGAAAGTTGTGATAATTCAAATTTTTACAATATTTGCCCCTACGCCCCTTTCAAAGGGATATGGGGGTCAGGATCCATGTAATGGCATGTATGTACATTTATTGTGGGGAAACTAGCCTATTAAAAAAAATATATATTTTCCTCCAAAATGCTGAACCACCCCGGCCCTTACAATTTCAGCACGAAAGTTGTGATAATTCAAAATTTTACAATATTTGCCCCTTCGCCCCTTTCAAAGGGATATGGGGGTCAGGATCCATCTAATGGCATGTATGTACATTCATTGTGGGGAAACTAGCCTAATCAAAAAATATAATTTTTTCCTTCAAAATGCTGAACCACCCCGGCCCTTACCATTTTGGCCTGAAATTGGTGTTTATTCAAATTATCACAATATTTGCCCCTATGCCCCTTTAAAGGGATATGGGGGTCCGGATCCATCTAATGGCATGTATGTACATTGATTGTGGGGAAACTAGCCTATTCAAAAAATATAATATTTTCCTCGAAAATGCTGAACCACCCCGGCCCTTACCATTTTGGCCTGAAATTGGTGTTTATTCAAATTATCACAATATTTGCCCCTATGCCCCTTTCAAAGGGATATGGGGGTCAAGATCCATCTAATGGCATGTAGGTACATTCATTGTGGAGAAACTAGCCTATTAAAAAAAATACATATTTTCCTCCAAAATCCTGAACCACCCCGGCCCTTACCATTTCGGCCTGAAATTGGTGTTTATTCAAATTATCACAATATTTGCCCCTACGCCCCTTTCAAAGGGATATGGGGGTCAAGATCCATCTAATGGCATGTAGGTACATTCATTGTGGAGAAACTAGCCTATTAAAAACTAGATCGAATTTTGACTGCGCGCAATCGAAAATGATGCCTCCGCCATAGAGCAATTTAAACAAGTTTGGAGTTTAAATCTCCAGTGGTTCTTGAGATATCATGATAACAATCTCAATGTATGGAATTTCATAAGTTGACCTCTGTGACCCTTGACCTTTGACCTACGTGCTCCAAAATCTAATCAGATTGTCTTCCTATGGTGATACACACTATCATTAAGTTTGAAGTTTAAATCTCCAGTGGTTCTTGAGATATTATGATATGGTGATACATACTATCATTAAGTTTGAAGTGAAAATTCTCCAGTGGTTCTTGAGATATCGCGATAACGATCTCAATGTATGGAATTTCATAAGTTGACCTCTGTGACCCTTGACCTTTGACCTACGTGCTCCAAAATCTAATCAGATTGTCTTCCTATGGTGATACACACTATCATTAAGTTTGAAGTTTAAATCTCCAGTGGTTCTTGAGATATTATGATAACAATCTCAATGTATGGAATTTCATAAGTTGACCTCTGTGACCCTTGACCTTTGACCTACGTGCTCCAAAATCTATTCAGATCGTCTTCCTATGGTGATACATACTATCCTTAAGTTTGAAGTTTTTACATCTCCAGTGGTTCTTGAGATATCATGATAACAATCTCAATGTATGGAATTTCATAAGTTGACCTCTATGACCCTTGAACTTTGACCTACGTGCTCCAAAATGTAATCAGATTGTTTTCCTATATTGATACACACTATCACTAAGTTTGAAGTTTAAATCTCCAGTGGTTCTTGAGATATCATGATAACAATCTCAATGTATGGAATTTCATAAGTTGACCTCTGTGATCCTTGACCTTTGACATACGTGCTCCAAAATCTAATCAGATCGTCTTCCTATGGTGATACATACTATCCTTAAGTTTGAAGTTTAAATCTCAAATGGTTCTTGAGATATCGCGCTTACAAACTCAATACAAGGAATTTCATAAGTTGACCTCTGTGACCTGTGACCTTTGACCTACGTACTCCAAAATCTAATCAGATCGTCTTCCTATGGTGATAAATACTATTCCCGAGTCTTAAGTTTAAATCTTAAATGGTTTTTGAGATATTGTGATAACGGTCAAACGGGACGGACGTACGGACGGACGTACGGACGGACGTATGGACGTACGGACAGACAACCCGAAAACATGATGCCTCCGGCACCACCTTCGGTGGCGGAGGCATAAAAAGGAAACATGGAACAGTATATGAGCAACGCAGAGTCCATGCTAAAACAAGAATATGATTTAGACATCTCATCAGCCACAGTAACTGCCCAAGAGAATATAGCAGAGGATAGTTAACCATATCCGAATACAAGTTTTCTAGCTAGGCTCAAAACTCTGATGATTAGAAGAGGAGGTGAAAGGCGGAGGCTACAGCCAAATGCAAGATCATTCAAACACCACAAAATAAGGAAATTCCCTCTTTGTGCTCTACTCTGCCATATTCTTTTGACAAGCAACCAGGGCAGCGTTTCACGAAACCGTCATAAGTACAAGTTCACCAACATCCCAATAAAATATGTGTATTAAGTTTAACAAGCATAATGGGTTGTTGGTGAACTTGTCTTATGAAGGTTTCACGAGACGCTGCCCAGTGTCTTTTCCCAGATGGTCTAAACCATAACCAAGTTTAGATCGGGAGGATTTCAAAAAAGATCAGGGGCCTGTTTCGCCTGAAGGAAATTCGGACATTGGACATTCAAATGTAGAGATGTAGCAGCCTTTTTCTTTTGTCTGTCCTTAATTATTCGATACCACTTTAACAGGCAATATCTTAAATGGTTCATCTTCAGTTTTTATTATAATTTGTGTTCCTGGTCAACTTTTGTGATCATATTGTATTTTGTTATGCATTTTTTGTAATAATAAGTGTATATAATAAATGTATGTATCAGTCTGTGGACTGTTTTACAAAGACAAATTATCAATAAATGAATGACTGATAGAAGGAATGTAAAATCATAACAGCCAATGCATAATATTGTAACATCTAATTGCTATATGTCTTTTCATCACATGTGTATAAAGTCCACTACCCTCACTATAAAATGCACATAATTGCAGAAGAAAATACTGGTATTTTGAACCACTCTTCATATCATAATGGGTTTTTTTTTTTTCTTTCTCACCTGACAGCCTCATTGAGGATTCCTTCTGGCTTTTCTTCTTTTATATGTTGCAGCCCAAACTTGGCATCTATTACTGTGATAATACCTGCAGAATGAGAAAAAATAGTAATAAAGCATTGAATTTTGCTAAGAGTACATGTATTTTGCATGAGTGCATAATAGTCAAAGTTGAGAGATAAAAGTCCCTACAGAATAAAGGCTCGTCTAGTTACCACAACAGCGAACTTAAAATTTTAATTATCTGTGATGTTGCAAATTCTCTGTCCAATCTTTAGACAAGTGAAATTTTAAGTAGATAGCTGTAATACATGTATTTATCCAAAATATGAACTTTAGTCCACCGCTCTGTACCACTGCTGTGACACTTGAGTTTGCTACAAATGACCTGACTTTAACTTCATGGAACTATCACAAACGCAGTTTTAAACAAATTTCTTATTCATAGATGACTGTCTTTCATATTGATGAGGTTTTATAGTCTTCCATCTCCTTATAATATAACCTGGATGAAGATGTAGTGCTTACCATCGAGATATATCTCACTTCCAAGCTCATCGTCTAGCCAGAATATAGAGGCAATGGGACCTGGTAAAAGAAAAGGAAAATAATGGATGATCACAGTCAAGTTTCCCAGTTGCCAGTCTTCTCTCTTCTTCTCGGATCACTACACGACACCCATCAAATTCTCGCTACCACAATAACAGTATTTGGCCATAGAGGGTAGCACCGGCCATGGGTATATTTGGCAAGGCACTTCCAGTTCCCATACAAATACGATGGGTTGAGAACTGGAAAGTCTGATAATAATTATAGTTTTGGAACCAATAATTTTTAAGTTACAGTTTATGATGGTGCCTACATAGATTTCATCAAATCATCAGGGAAGTGCATGAAACCTGAACTTCGGTTTAGTAAAATAACAAATTAGTTGACACTGCTGTACATTCTCTATGGAAGCCGGAAAAAAACCTTGTCTTAATGTCTTCCCCAGTATTGAATTTGAGCATGTGCTGACCTGTACAGTGTAGGAGGAAGGTCGCCATCTACTGTCGAACATACTATTTATGGTAGGGTCAATTTGGAAACAGAATCTAGCCTCGATACTAAACCCTTTTTTAGATCTTTAGGAGTAAAGTGTCCTGAGGATCTATGGCTTCAACTGCAAGGCTACCAGTGGAACAGGCCTTTGACTATCTAGTATGAATGCGTGACTTCTTACCTGGATCAGCTAAGCCTGTGGTTTCAAGAAGAATGTAGTCAAACTTCCCTCTTTTCTTCATCAGATTCTCAATGGCCTGTACTCCATTGTCTCTGAAAATATAAATTGATTAATCATGATTAGTAAACAATAAGTGAATCAAAGTGGGGTTAACAAACTATATATCAATTAATATATTAAAACAAGAGCATTAAAAGCAAGCACAAATAAGTAAAATTTAACTCAAGTCACTATCAGAACTTGTTCCACATAATAGAGTTTCTCTAATTACAAATATCATTAACTGTCATACTACATTGTTTTAATGAATGATATGTTTAATTCATTAATATATCCTTGATCCTGGGGGGAGGGGGTTTAATCATGACTGTCAACAATACTGCCAAAAAGCATGATTTCTACATTAAAAATTGAAAGAGACTGTATAAAATATAAAAATTAAGAATGTATTGATTTTTGCCTGCTCGTCAAATACCCTATGATATCTATTGTTGAAGATTTGTTTTACCAAGAAGACAGAAAATGTATGTATGAAAGATACACAAACCTAGTTTTAATGTTTCGAAATACATTTAAAAAAAAAGTTTCGTGTTGTTTTATTTTTTTCCGCTGGCTTGAAGTTTAACTTGTATAGCATAGATTTGCAAGCCAGTTGACTTACTTGACTGAACAGCATAGGCAACCATTACGTAACTCAAGCCACTCTTCATACAGCTCTCCTGATTGGCCGATTGACATAGACTGCTCCACTGCACTACCTAAACAGGGGGGGGGGAACATCAAACATGTATATGCATTTAAGCATTAAACATCCATCACAAATATACATAATAAAATACATAACGTTTAGTTCAGTATTTGTTTAGCATTTTGAAAATACTGGTATGTAACTTGTGTGCCCTTTTCATGTTATTCCATACGTTGGCCCGACCCTTTCATCCTTCTTTCACAAGTGCCAAAATTTATCATTCTCTTTTACTTTCACTTATCTAAGTGCAATGCATTCTTCTGGAGAAAAAACATTGAACTGGACAAACAATTCAATATTTTTCAGTTCTGTGCCTTGAGCATTTGATTGTCAAGTGGATTTGGCGCCATACAAATCTTATGTATTATTATTATTATTAATATCTTTCATTACACTGGCTGCGCCCCATATAAAACGAGTTTGAAGACAAAAGTTAGTGACTCTTTAATTCTGTCTCTCCCTTTGCTAACTTATATTTTAAATTGAAATTATCCGCATGATACATGTAACTCCAAAAAGGAGCAATATCCAGGAATGCCAGTTAGAATTTATGAGAGGTCCTGACAATCACCTAGAATGAGCTATTTTGTACACAAAAAAGCCTTAACTATGGTCTGAAAATAATGCGCCAGGGCCTGAATTCAGGCTATTGCCTAAAAACTGGCATCCCTGGATATCAGATTGGAGAACAGAAGAAGCTAAACAAGGCATTAAAATCATGAATGACAAAGTCTACCTGCTCCAAACTCATTCAGTATGACTGCAATCTTCTTCTCGTGCTGCTCAGTCAGAATGTAATTCAAGAGAGTTGTCTTCCCAGCACCTGTGCAAGAAGGAAAATATGTAGTGTTCAATACATATTATTTGTAAGTGCTTAAACTGTTATACATTTTTGATTTTTTTTTTTTTTAAATGATCAACAAGTTATTATTAACAGTGCTCATTTCACATCATTTGGAAGTGCTTAAACTGTTATACATTTCAATTTCAATTTAAACCAAAATTTTAAAGAATTTTATAAAAAAAAAAAAATTATAAAGAACACCATCACCACACAACATGATATTGAGAATGTAGACATCAATGGCACTATTTACAGAAAGTAGATATTGAATGATTTATATGAGTGGGTGAAGCTGATATATTGTGGTATGAGTTAAGAGAAATGTTTACTGAGGGGATATGTATTTCACATTTGTTTCATATACCTTACTACCCACACGATTTTCTTTTTGTTCATATCCAAATCATTTTGGGTATCTCGAGTGGATTAGCATTCTAATATTCTGGGGATCAGATATTCATGGAATAAGAAAATGCTCTACAAATTTTGGGTTATTAGTCTTAGGTAGATTGTGCCAGACATAGTCACACGATGCAAGTTTACTTGCGATATCCAACTGAATTGTGAACAGCAACAGATAAATCCAAACAGTTGTTATAATTGTATGGAGGTCTTTTTATGATACACTGCCTCATTCATCAACAGCAATGTAGATTAAAAGATCTAGGGGCAAAAATGCCACTTAAAGGGGGGCTCTGTACACTAATCGTTTGGCACTCCTGGGCCTTGTCTAACAAGAGTTGTGATTGATCCGTATCAATCAAAAGTTTGCAGTCTCCTATCTCTGATGTACGTCATGGTTGCAATGATATCAATCACAAATAAGTTGCGAATTAAATACCGGCCCTGGGCCCCATTATAAGATGGGGCCCAGGGCCGGTATTTAATTCAAAACTAAGCATAAATAAGAAATTTACTAAGTAAATGGATAAGCTAAGAAATTTACTTATCTCGTATTCAAATCGCATTTTAGACTTATACTTACGTAAGACAAAATCTAAGTCAAATACTTACTGATAAGCATTGTGGCATCACACGGTCAATCGAAAGTAATGCGCAATTAATGCCTTGCAATAAATGCGCGCTGATATAATTGTGCGCAGGTTATAATACTGCGTAAGAAAACCATATGCCTGCCAATCAAGGCCTCCTGATAATTGACTTAAGTCCAGTGGGGAGCTGTCTTAAATTTAGGGTAAAATACTGAGCCAAAAATTTGAATTGAATCCCAAAATTGGCTAAGTATTTTATCTGCGGTAAGCCAAATACTAAGTAAAAAGCTTAAATTTTGTACTTAAGTATTGAATTGAATACGGGCCCTAGTCTCAATAAAGTAAGGAATAACTTTGTTGGCTTGTTGAGGTAATGTGAACGTAGCCCTGTGCTTAAAGGCCCTACCTACCAAGGAACCCAGTGATGATGGTGACCGGGATCTTGCACGCTGGTTCATCATTGACCTCTGGTCTTACCGGTACCGGGATCAGGTCTGGACATTCATCATCGGAGCTGACGTCAGACATGGTCACTGATTATCTGCAAAGAAGAGTTTAGTACAAAACCAAAAGCGATTCAAATAATAAGTTGGGTCTCGGTATAATATTATGTAAGGGTGGACTTATAATATTAAAAGGGTATTCTTTAGACATGTGTATGTTTCAGTTTAATTGAGCAGCATAACTATACTTTGTGTACAATACAAATTTAAGACATCCGCTATTGATTCTCAAAACTCCATTTTTCAAAACTCACCAGAATTCACTAAAAACTGGCACTATAATCCAATTGATGACACGTACTAAATATTAATAAATAGCAATAAATGCATTAATACAATCAATTCAACTCACCTATGTTGGAAAAAGTACATAGAAAATTTAAATTGGAAATCTACCATCAATCTTGGTGAAGAGCCGCTTCATATTCATTGTGTACATTTCTTGGTCACAGCGCTTGAATCTCTGAGACAAAAATTGCAACTCGACCAACAACAAGAAATGGGCCACCAAAATATGGGTTCATATCGTAAACAAGAAAAAAAAGTCTGCTCTTTCGGCTGCACAATGATTTGGACCAATTTTTTGTGTGGCTTAATTTCATTGGCCAAGTTGATTACCTGGAAGAGTAACCAAGGCAAGAGTCAGATAATCACTGGGAAAAACCACTCCAGCAAAGCATAGAGTCAACGCTAATGCGTATTGACCTCTCTCTCTCTCTACCAATGATTTAATATATTTTATTCAATCATAGATCTAGGCCTAAACCTTTTCCTAATGTATTTTGGGCTCCTAGTGGTTGATATGCAATTTAGATCTACCGGCCAATAGTTTCGACTGGTGTGATTTATTCATACTTGTATCTTCTTCTTCTTGTTCTTCCTCCGCTTTTTCGGAGATCAGCGATCCCATGGGCCGCAAGACATATAACTAAACAGGAGCACAAGGTAAACATCAAGGTAATGGACTGATAGCAGTCGATCGCGATAGGTGCATTTTATGGACAAAGAATAAAGTAATAGCCAGTAAACTTCTATATGTAGTAAGTGGCAGTACAGGATCAAATGGGAGAAGAGTAGCAATGGTGAATAAACACGGATCACGGTCATCATATTGTGACGCACACAATGGATAATCCTGGAGACATTTATTTACTTTGGAGACAAAGTCATGGCGTATCTGAAGATGAGTCGGACAGGATGCTATAAAGTGTTCAACTGTCTCATCAACACCTTTGCACAGGAGGCATAGCGGATCAGCTGCTTTCTGGATTTTGCACAATCTTGTCTGAACCAAATACGTGTTGGAGAGAAGTTGAGCCCTCAGCGAAAGAGCTTGCCGAATGATGTAAGACGGAGAATGTTGTGGATAGAGCAGATGCGGATCCAGAGGTATCTTGCCTGACCAATACTGAAGGGACGACTTGGAGAGTACACCAACAGCAGTCTTGGCATGTACAGCGTCTTTAATCTTGACCTTTATCAACCGCTTCCATTCGAGATATGAAAATGGATTGAGCATCAGACTCTCAAGATCAGGAAGATCATATCTCTGCAGTATACATCGAAGTGCTTGGATGGAAGGAGCATTCACCGCGATAGCTGCTAGAAAAGTCCGTGATTCAAACCTTCCACTGTCAAGATTGAGGACCCAATCTCACTTTCCAAACACGCGTCAATGTTAATATGAAAAAGGGTAACACATAAATCAATACGTGGGACGCCAGTAAAATAGTCACGCACAAAACTATTTAAAATCACACAATTTCAATATGAATAAAATAATTTTGAATATCAGCATACCTTAGTTTAATGATACAGCTCTCAAGGGTATGTTTTTATGGAATGAATTTGTAAATAACTCGAATTTTCTGCGGTAGATCGAGCACTTTTTATCTAGGCGATAATGATTGAAGTTAGAGGTCAGGAAAGAGGATTCCCTTAGGTGCGATGGTAAGTACGGTGTCTTCGAAAAGTGTATTTTATTAATCTTATTTTTTTTTTAAACTGCCAACCTCCCCATGGTATAGAAGTAACTACGGCTAACAAGTAGTTTCTGATGGTCTCAGTGGCGGATTCAGGGGGCACAGGGGGCACGTGCCCCCGTCGTCCCCCTCCCCATCGGTAAAAATGGGGGGAAGGGGGAAGGGGGAAAAGGAAAAGGGAGAAAATGAGAAAAGGCTGAGGGGGTAAGAAAAAGGAGGGGGGGGGGAAAGAAAGAAAAGGGAAAAGAGAAAGAAGAAGAAAAGAAAAAGGAGAGAAAGGGGGAGAGGGAAACTTGGGTGATAGAATGGAAGAAAGGGGAAGAAAGAGGAGACATAAGGCGGAGAGAGAAGAAAGGGGAAAAGACGGAGGAGAGAAATGGGGGGGAAAGGAGAATAATGATAAGGGAAAAGACAAAAAGGGGGCATAAGAAGGTGTGTTTTTTTTTTACCGGAAAAGAGGCTGGTAGGGGGCATGCAATTTTGCAGTGTGTATAATAGGAGAAAGGAAAACAAAATTAAAGAGAATTAAACAACGATAGAAGAGAGGTGCGAGAGCATGAGGAATTGCATTTATTTAAAAAGAATAATGGGATAACACCAAGGGCGTCGCTAAAGGGGTCTGGGGTGTGACACCCCCCCCCCCCCCATCTGTCAGGATATTGTCGGTAAAATTGTGCTGCTGGCGGGAAAAATGAGAAAAGGGGGAGGGGGAAATGAGAGGGAAAGGGAAAGAAAACAGAAAAGGAAAAGAAAGGGGAAAAAGGAAAGAGAAGAGAAGAAAGAAAGAGAAAAAAGAAAAGAGGAAGGAGAGGAAAGAAAAGAAAAAAGCAAACAAAAAAGAAGAAAAAGGGAGAAAAGGAAAAAAAAAGAAGAGAAAAAAGGAAACGAACGAAACGGGGATGAAAGAGAGGAGAGAGCCTGAGAGAAGAGGGGTGGGAGTAAGAGAAGGGGGCAGGCGCGTACACAGGGGGGGGGGTTGGGGGTTAAACCTCCCCTTTGGTACTCTTTTGTGTGTAAACCCCCCCCCCCCCCCCTTTGGATTTTGTTTTTTATTATTTTTTTATTATTATTTATTTAAAAAAAAAAAAAAAAAAAAAAAAAAATATTCCCATGGCTGACCTAAAAAAAAAGCTGACCTTACCCTCCCCCCAACGGAGCAAAATGTCAAATTTTCAAATTTCGAGACCAAAAAAAAAGAAAAAGTGTCCTCTTCCCCCCCCCCCCCCCCCCCCGGGGATTGCGAGCTCTATGTAGTTTAAAGACCCTATCCCCAATGACAATACAACTTTATATCAATGGAAAACTGAAGCAGACAGTACATAGCTCATGCGAGGCGATGAGTCGTGCTTGAAATATGCGTACTCCATGCACATGATGATGTCATTAATAGTTTTTAGGTTGAAAAATGCCGATTTTCAAAGCTTTATATTTCGAGTTACAAGTCAGTGAGACTGTGAGAGTTTTACTCCTTTGACAGAAACTGAAATGTACATTATTGCAAAATATGGCTTGAATTATACTCATCTTACAATGCAGTAATCTCGAATCACCGTAGTCCTGGACACAAGTGACTTGTAATGAAATGACACCTTAAAGTTACTTTAGCTGTTTAACTTTCGAATCATGTCTCATAATTCGTGTACTAGTTCGTATATAATTAGTGTTGTTTTTAACAGTTAAACCGTTTACTGAAGGATGGACTATGAAGGTCGATTAAATTGTTTTGAGTTTTATTTTGTGATAAGTAACGATAATGAAATAAAAGTGTAGAAATTGTGTTCAAGATTCAAGTTTTAATGTCCATAATGATATAGTCAAAAGAAGTTTACACCTAGAAAATTGCTATTTATTTCAAAAATCTTCTATGAACAGTAAATTATAATACATCTTATGAAAGAGTGTTTTATCCTAAATCATTTGGTATCATTTTTGTGTGGTATGTGTTCACGCTTGGATGAACAGGAGGCATTGTTTGCGAGAGTTCAAAAATCGACTTGCGCCAAAGTGAGGCCTATACAGTATGTATTATTGGGATCAGCGGTGTGAGAGAATGAATTGAATGTATCAAATGAAATGCATTGCATATGATTTTTGCAGAAGCAAAGTCACACACGCGCACAAAATGTTCGTTGATATTTGATATTCGATATTTGATATGTGTGACATGATTAATTTTGTTAGGAATGTTTTTTGGAGCTGCAAAGACCGAATTATTACCCAAATCCTATTTTTGTTTTCTTCAAACCTCACATAAACAGCTTTGGCGCAGGTCAATTTTTGCACTCTCGCAAACAAAGCCTCCTGTTCATCCAAGCGTGAACACATACCACCAAAAATGATACTAAATGATTCGGGATAAAACACTCTTTCATATGATATATAATAATTTACTGTTCATAGATGATTTTTTAAATAATTAGCAATTTTCTAGGTGTAAACTTTTTTTTGACTCACACTGTAGTTTACAAAGAGTAAAATTCCCTGCTAATCATTAAACAAATTCATGGACTAATCAACATTATGATTATTTATCTATAAAATATTTGGTGTGAAATATTATTGAACGGACCCAGAGGGACTGAGGAGGAAATGGTTTAGCTTGGAAAAAAAATCGAGGCAATTATGTTTGGATATCCATACGAAAACAAGTTTGTAGCTCTGTCTCCAAAATTTAGCACTATTTTCTTTTGATTGTTATTGTTGTGGTTGATGTTCATGTTGATAGACACACTGAATTTATATACATGTACATCTGATTGTAATTATCTTTCATTATAATCCATTAACTTCCCCAGTTTTAGTTGTTGTAAAAAATATCATTTCCTACTACAAAATATGAATTTAGTGCTCAAATCTGTGTAAAAACTGTAAATCTTGTAGTTCGCCGCATGACATGTCAACTTTTTTTGTAATTTATAAACAGCAGTGGTAAAAGAAAAGCAAAAAACAATTATTTACACCGGTCCACTATTTTGGAATAACATAGATCCATCTCTAAAACAAAGTACCAGTTTATATACACATTTAAAAAAAGCTAAAGATTAAACTTTTATAAACATAAAAGGTATATGAATCTCGGTTTGTCTGACTCTCGAATCAATCTCTTACTCCCTCTTTTTACTGATCCAACCTCCTTTTTCTAAAGCTTTTGCAATCATTCACTTTCCCTTTTTTGTGTCTTTCTTTCTTTTTGCCTATTACTATTTCCCTCCATTAATTAAGTTTCCTCTTTTATTTTTCCCAAAAAATCTATAATTTCTTAGCTACATATTTTTTCTATTTATTGACTTTCTAAGCATACTTTGTTCATGTTATATTGTAAAAACAGCATCTGAGGAACTAACACTTTAACAACACTTGCTCGATCTTTTCTCGTGCTTTTTTACCCTATTATATTTGTCGTTTCGTTGCATATTTTTGTAATATAATTATTCATTGCATTATGTTTTGCAATGAGAAATAAAATCATTTGAATCAAGATTTGTTTTGGCCAGCGGTAAATGAAGGCCACCTTCCTATATTGGTCTATTTCTTTGTAGGTTTTAAGTTTCAACCAAGAGAATATATAATGTACATATACTTTCATAATTTCATTTAGAGTACCCAGATAGGACTAAAATTCCAGTTCAGTGGATTTGACTGTTTTTGTGAACTATAGTGTCATTCAACGTAGGTGGCGCTTTAACTGAAAACAAAACCGTATTATTTGCGATATTGCTTCCGCATTGCAAGTGAACGCCTCACTTTGTCTCATTTGTTGCACCAATTGTGCTAGTTTTCCTCTTCAGTTCCTACGTAGACGAAGTGAGTATAATATTTAATACCTCTTCAAGTAGTACATTATTGTATAAGATGTGAAATGTATAATCTAAGACTAAGTTGCGTGTAGACAGATGTTGAAGTTGACAATGACATGTCATTGTTGTGGCGGCGCGTGCTAGGCCGCAGCCAGGCGTTCACCGTGCGCTGAACTCTGGCGTGGCTCTCGCTCTCCGTGGCATGGCGGTAAACAGTAGGGGCGCTGGTCCGAGAATAAGGATCGTCTTCATAAACGAGGATCGTCTTCTTTAACACTGACCGATGCGTCCTCAAAAATAAGGACCGTCTGCATTTTTGCAGACGTTTCATATTTTTGATTGGCGCATTGGCGATGCAAAAAACGGATTCTGCAATGATTTTCTTGATGCAATTTACATTGACTTTGTACAGAGACCTTCACATTATGAGCAATAAATCCTTGGGAAGACGGACAACCCATAAAAGTAGACGGACAACTAGGGTTATTTTCCCCCGGGGAATCCATTTTTGGCATCGCCAGCGGGCCGTTCTGTAACATGAAACCCCCAGAGCGCCGATGAAAAAAAACGTCCTCGAAAATGCAGACAACCCTTATTTTTGATGACACATTTTGTCTTCGTTTATGAGGATATCCTTGTTTATGAGGACGATCCTCATTCTCGGACCAGCGCCCCTACTGGTAAAACAAAGGCGTTACCCCTCTACTATCATATCGGTATTCAATGTCTGAAGTTCAACATCTAATTCTTAACTATAATTGTAGGCTATTTGTACTGTCTAAATAATGAGTAATGAAAACACACTACACTTCAAAATAAAATGCGCCAGCTGGTAAATCTTTGCGATTACGATGGACTACAGCAACGCTCGCGTCACTTACCTGCTTACTGAAGTCAAAGTGAGGATATTATTATTATAAATCTACCACACATGGCTGCATTACCATGAATTCTATAGCTATCCTGGCTGTGTATTAAAAACTGTTCTATTGATTCTCAACATTTCAAACACCACTCGTCTTTACAAAACTCCAATAGGTTCAATAAAAATAGATCTTTAGTGACAATTGATGACACCTAGCTAGATCTAGACCGAATTTTCCATCTCTTTCGTTCGTAAGCCTCTTATTGGGGTAGGGTCGGCTCTCTCTTTAGAGAGGCTAACGAACGAAAGAGACAGAAAATTCAGTCTAGATCTAGATCTAAATATCAGTAAAAGTAAAACACAATCTTTCAACTTTCTGATGTTGGAAAAAATATTTTGAAAATTCAAATCATGAGTCTAAACTACCGTCAAACTTGCTGTTACTACTGATCAGTGACAACGTACTCATCGTGTGCAATTGTGGGCAGTGTGTGTATTGTATGTAATTACTACCTCTCTGCACGTAGTACAGCGCTAGAGGTCAATACGCATTAATTAGCATCGACTCTATGCTTTGCTGGAGTGCTACAGCGCAGCTAAGCTCCCTTCTATTCTAAGTTCTACAGTTACATGATGTAGCCTTATTATTATTAGCCTTAATTAAGGGCAAACTAGTCTAGAGCTAGGCGATAATAAATTATGATATTGATATCATCCCCTCCATTAATAGATTTAATTTGTACCCGTACTCCTTTGTGCAGAGTGAGGACAACAAAACTTAAATGCGTTCATAATCACCCACTCCCGAACTCTTGCTTACTACATGTACCTTCCGAGCTGTGGAGTTTGCTAGATGATCTTTCTTTCTTCAAAGTTCAAGAATTTAACCAAAGCTATGATAATTTGATGCCTGAGTGATAGCGATTTGCTTACATGTACCTTACCTATCTGTTGTTGAAACTATACATTTTTTGTTCAACAAAAAGTTTAGCAAGGCATGAACTTATGTTGTGGCTATTTCTGTTTCAAAGCAGAAGTAGAGCAGTAGAGGACAGCAAATTATTAAGTTTTCACATTACAAATATTGGTTAGAGGTACAGTGGGATGAAATTATAACTTTGTACATTGGATGGGAGAAGCAATCAGAGGAATTGCAAATTTGCAATCACTTGTACCTACATGTATGTACCTCAGTACATGTTGCAAGCGATGTCAAGTTATTTGTGTCATTAGCCTTGCCAAAAATTTTGTTGAATAATCTTGACCTCCCTTTTGAACAGATTGAAATTAATTTAAAGTTTGGGTATTTTACTTTTTCCAATAAAGGTTTCAATACTCTGGGTTCAATGATAGAAATTTACGAAGAGTGTGCCCCAGAAAATATGAAACCAGCTTTCATTGCAGAATTTTTCAATGGCAGGTATTTTTGTGTGTCTGTTTTTCATTTTGAATGAAAGTGTGCAAAGAAATATACACCATTGCAATGGAATCTATTGTACGATTGGTGTCAGAAACAGGATATTACAATAAAAGAATTATTTACCAACTCTGAATTTCGCAACTCTATGTCACCATTTTTGACCCAACCCGATGGAATGACCCGTACAAATAGACTATAGAAACTGCTATTCAGACAAAAAAATAAGTTGGTATTGAGTGCAGAGGTACATGTACACTGTACGAGTAGTTCTCCTGTTGAGTACATGTACAAGTACTACCAATCACAAATGGCTGATTTTGCTCATTTACAAAGTAATAATCAAATGTATAGACTGCCCTCTGTAGTTCAGTTTACTTCCTTAAAGTATCCACTAAAAACACATAAACTTCTTCAAAGTATTAGCTAAAATGACATGAACATACCATTTATAATGAAGTGCGACTCAAGTGGCTTCAAGTGCTTCAGTTTTCTACCATTAAGATCCACTTGAAACAGATTATTAACTCTGTTAGTGTTACCTGTAGGCATAATTAAATCCATTGGATAGGCCAAGTAAAAATAAGTTTTCCAGTGGAATATATTTTCTCATTTGTGGGAAAGAGGATGAGGAATTCAACTAGAAATTGTATTTTACAAGGTACAGTACCTACATGTAAACTATGTTCATACAGATGTGGACCCCCCCCCCCCCCCCCCCTTACCAATGAACAAATTTGAAGCATTTCTCAAATTCAATACATCTCTATAGAATCTGGGGGGGGGGGGACTTTATTAAGTGATTAATTATTCACTTCTCTTTGTTACATCATTTATGTGATTTAAAAAAAAACTTATTTGTAAATTGTTTCTATTTCACCTAAAAGGACCCTTCAAACATTAAGTAAGCCAGTGTAGTAAACCTTAGATCTGTCATAGTGTTGCCGGGGCATTTCTTGACCGTTCACTCACTCAGTCAATCAAGTATCTGTGCATTCATTCGCTCATTGATTCTCTCATTAATTAATCAATATTTGAAGTTTTATTAATTCTGTAAGTCTGTTATTGAGTTAATTCTCATTCATTCGTTCGTCTTTGCTCTCTTGTAGGAAAACACCCTATTAAACACCAAAAGCCAAGCCTTTTATTAAGTCAAAGCAGACCGGGAGCCAAATATCTGAAAAAGCGGCTCCCGGTCCTTAATTTTTTTAGAGAACCGGGAGCCGTTTTCCAGGACCAGGAGCCATTTCCAAAATTGATGAAAATATGTATTCTTTGAAATTATTTGTTAAACGTTACCTTTTATTTATACATACGGTAGTTTAATTTCTAGTTTACATTTTGAGCACTCTAATATTAAATCACTCATACCTTGGATAAATCTGTCATATGTAGTTGTTGTAGTTCATGTTTAATACTATTTTCATGCCGTTAAATGTCAAAAATTGAAAAATGTTAGGAAGGGGGGAATTAAATTATTTTTATAAAAAAAATACTTAAGAAAAACCATCTATAATGACAATGCAGAGCTGCCAACCTGTCACTTTCAAAAAACATATTATTCAGCTTGAAAAAACACATTTTGCCTGTTTAACGTGTTTGTTATTTAGACCCGTCACTTAAAAAAATAAAAGAATACAAAAATAAAAAAATAATAATAATAATTTTAAATTTTTTTTTTTTAAATTGTTAAATATATTTACCTATTTTATCAGAAAAATCCATTATTTAAAACATCACAGAATTTTAGACAATGAGTACGAGGGCCGCTGAGTCAAGGCAAGTCTGGAGTTGCAATCAACTTTGTACATAAAGTCAATGCATCAGCAGGTCCGGTGTTCTGTTTTTCATTTGGCTTTTTGAAGATACCATTACATCCGAAGGGCATGCGATAGGCAACAAAACTGGCAACAAAATCGCTGATTTCTTGATTTTTAGCGCTATTTTGATGAAACTGTTTCTTAAAACTGGGCTAAACCCCCGTGAGCTTTGGAAATATGGCTCCGATTCCGCATTTTAGTCAGCAAAATTTGGCTTTTGGGATGGATTTTTGGAAGTTACATCGAGACTTTCTTGTACTGACACTGTGTGTGTAGTGCAGTACAGCACTGATGTCATTTGTGTGTGTATGCATGGCCTGGGGAAATGCGCTCGTCTTTGAGTGGTGTACATCACCTGTATTGTGTGCTCCGTACTCCGCTAGCCTAGGAGTAGGAGATTGCGGCCGCTCGTATTAGTGGTGCAATTGTTTCTGGGCGATTTTAATTAGGATTCTCATTATATAATGATTTGTTAGGGTTCATTCAGTCCACGTTTAACTCGTATCAAGTAAGTTTTTGTCACATTTGTGAACATTTAGTACTAGACATGTGGAAGTTTATGAAACAGAAAATGTTAATTCTCCCAGACCGGGCGCCAGAAATAAAGATGGACCGGCGCCCGGTACTCATTTTCCCCGTCTTACCGGGCGCCAAAAGTCAGGGACCGGGGGGTAAAAATCGCCCGGCGCCCGGTTAATAAAAGGCTTGCCAAAAGCTGATTTCCATAGTGGAAATTACACCAATTAAATTTAATTTCAAAATAGCATTAATAATGGCAATCTATGAACAGATGTGAACAGACCTGTTTTTCACCCCCTTCCAGATGGCCTGAATGCCCCACATTGCAAGCCAATTTGAGGAAACCATATATTATTAGGTTGTTTCCGTGGCTTCAAAACCAATAC